TACCATTAACAGGACTATTTCCGGGTCGTAATAAGTAATTTCCGGGTCAGTATACTATCATTTGTTTTGCTCTTGTATTTGACAATTTTTTTTTCCAAAACACACGTTTTGAGATTTCATCGAGGCAAACGGTTTATTTACTGTTTATGGGATTTCCTTATCGGGGACAGAATCTGAACAACAAATATATTTGAAGCCAAAAACTTGCTTTGACGATATGATGCTCCATTAGTAATGATTAAAGATTGGCCACGTGTGATATAAAAAACTGTATCCTTTCATCATGTTTGGCCATATATAAATACCTGTTCAGTGTTGATTATAGATAAACCAAGCATAAAATGCATAGGATAACATAACACATAGTAGTTAGTGGTTCATTCATAATGCTATCTTTATAAAATAGTTGCTTCTCATGTAATAGCGGATGTTTCAACACAGCCCTGCTCACAGTAAGCATGTGATATATACTCCTTGGTCGCGATTGTACGCCATACTAATCATTTTCATTCTATCCTAATGCACTAGTGCAGTTTTTCTCAAACTGTGTTCTCCTCTTCAGAGTATTCCGCGGAACAAGGGATCGAAATTGCGACTGAATTGGTCGCCACGTCGATCTCGGCCATACTTCTCTGTAAATTTGTTAAATACCTGGCGACAAACAGACGAACGGGCCTTGTATTTAAACAGGCGGAAAGACCTTGTGTCCGTCTGGAAAGAATGATGTTTTTGATCACCGTTCAATATCGTTAACCGACAGCCTAAATTTCTAATTGTCACAGCAAAGTTTTATTTTAGGAATCAACCCTTCAATTTTAACTTTACCTAATTTTTTTGGGGTTCCGTGAAGCGAGATAAAAATCGTATGTGTTACGGGGCCAAAAAAATTGAGAAACGCAGCGCTGCACTAGTGAATTTTTATAAGAAAACTTGTGTGATACTTTTTAAACTTATCTTTTTTGTCATTTTGTTCCAGTTTTAATTATTTTTTATTCTGCAATCAAGATTAAAAGACAATTTATTGAAAAGGGCAACATGGGCGAGGACTGTTCAGGGCTAATGTCATATAAACATGATATTCGAAAATGTCTGATTATTGTTCATGAAATGTCAACCCTTAAATATTGCAAATCCGCTTGACATTTATTTCATATCTCGACATTTCGAATCAATTAAGCCGTTGCCGTTTGCATTATGCTGTGAAAGCTGGTACGTCATTGACACGCCAAGTATTCTATTAAACGTAAACGAACATACCGGACCCGATGGCCTAATGGCTGACAAAGGTGAAAAGATCTTGTCAGTAATACCTTTAATTATGGCCACACCCCGCTCCATCCATGCTTTAATAAATTGGGTAGAAAATGTTGAATATAAGTTTTCGTTCTTTCCCAAACAAATACAAACAACTTAGGTATCAGCGGGAGTTTGCAAAAAGCGTGGATCATTATGGAAGCGAAACAACGCAGTTCAGTGAATTTTATTCTGAATTGAGAACAATATTTGCATAAATCGAAGCACGAAGATTTAATCACTATTTTAACTTTTTTTTTTATTCAAATCCTATTGATCAGGATCTTCAAGTATACGCCTACTTATATCTCTGCTATCAGCAATAATTTGCGAAAAGTTGCAAAGTTGAGCGGATTTATTTATGGAAAGTCAGATAATTAGAAACTGCATACGCGGAGATTTGAGAATGTGCGCACATTCCACCGGCTTTGATTCTCGTTCTAATACGGGGCCCTTATAGTGAGCGCTGTGGCCGACACAGTGCTTATATCGTGCTCCACAAGTGTATCGGAATAGCAGGTTTGTTTAAATCATCCCATCCCCACCACCTCACTCAGAGTATATATTAAACTACGATTGCGGAACCGTTACTAAAGAAGAAGAGCCAACGTAGTCACTATTTGTCGTAACTCTTGCGGAATCAGCATAAGATAAATCTTGATAACTAATACGTCAGCGATAATAATCTGCAAACTGCTGGATTGCAATGACATGATGTTCGAAATTAGGCTGAGGGAGAATTGGCATAATCGTAAAACAAATTGCCAATAGCGAATAGAAAACAACCAACGCTAACAGTATAGACATTTTGACACCACAATTTAGTTCGTACACAATTATTTAATGTGTAGCTTCATTTGGAGCAGCTTAATTACCTCGTCTGCTTTACTAAGGCAAAACTCTTACGTGAACTTCTACGCAAACTCGCTACAAATGTGAACTCGATCTGAACATTACAACCTTGCGCTGAATTAGCTGACGATGTAATGCTGTTTGAGATACCAATGAAAATTCCGCCAAAATATCAGTAATTTCACTCGAAAATATCAGTAAACACATTTCTAGTCGCTGTGTTACTTTGTAAGAATCATATTCTCGAGTGTTAACCACCTCCAAAAACGTAATTTTTTCAGATTTCATTCGTTACATTCGCTTCAATTAAAGATGTGTATAAGAAGCGTTTTGATTTCTGTAAGGTCCGAAACCTTTTACATGTAAGATCCGATCTTCGTTCTATTTCTGTGATGTTGGGTCTCAGTACTGGTCCCAAATCTTTCCAATTTAGTGGAGTTTTTGTTTTAAAATAAGTCAGCGTCGAAAAAGATTTTATCGCGATCCCATTGAGCCCTTTCACGGTTCATCGATGGGCCGGGAACCCCGTTCGAAGAACCTACTCAATTTTGGCGGCAGATTTAAATACAAAATTTTTATCCGCCGATGCCATCATACTCAAGTAATTCGACAGACAACCCCGTCCATTCAAAACCAAATTCGTTATTAAATATATATGGATTAGATAATAGTTTTCAGCAATTCCAGCTGGAACAGCATTATAAGTGATTTTAAGTTTTATTGAATTTTTATTTTTATCAAAAAAATGTTTTCTCAAATTCAAACTAAAACTTGTGGTTTTGCGACACGAAACTACATATCCTGGAATACAGTAGAAGCATTATTTTTTTATTCTGAGTTTTGGTCGCAAATTGAAAACACCATTATCCGATCAACGTGTATGAGTGAATATAAGAAAGACTGGGCTAATTGTATATTAACAATCCCACTTTGTATACGATTGCAACAAGTCCTATTCATCGTTAGCATAACTGGTTGAGAACATAGTTTCGACAGCGTTTTGAATGTCTGTGCTGTCGGACCGAAAGACTATGTTGATTGCGTATTGACAATAATGTATTGTAGTTTTCCCAAAGTTTTGCTGGTACCCATATTCCACGAAAGCTCGTTAATATGCAATTAGGTTCAAATATTCTAGGTTTCAATATGACATTCGGTTCGAATATTCTAGGATTTATTTAATATGACATTCGGTTCAAATATTCTAGGTTTTCATACGACATTCGGTTCATATCTTTAGGGTTTTCATATGACATTCGGTTCGAATATTCTAGGATTTAATGTGACATTCGGTTCAAATATTTTGATTTTCATATGACATTCGGTTCGAATATTCTAGGATTTCATATGACATCCGTTTCAAATCCCCTAAGATTTTATATGACATTCGGTTTATATATTTCATGATTTCATATGACATTCGATTCAAATATTCTAGGATTTCATATGACATTCGGTTCCAACTATAATTGTATTTATATGTTTGAACTTTGCTGTTTTGTATTGAAATGCGTTAATGAGATTGGGAAATGATCCCAAAGCGCCTGTAGTCGTTCGCTTATTAATTAAAAACTGGGCATAGGCTCACCACATATATATTTTCTCTATCTTTCACGCTATAATTCAAAAGCAGATAAAATCACTACAAACCCATCTGAACTTGTAAGAATGCGGGTTAGGTGTCTTGTATTCGCCTCGAGCAAGCAAAAGCATGTTCCTTACAATGTCATGATACTGACCGACCTTACATGGAAATCCCCCTGACCTGACAATAATGGCGTTCTCGAGATCACAATATACAAAAAATAAAAATAAATCCTCCTATTGAAGGTGGATTTTGTCTCGGTGGAGCATTTCGTGAAGAAAACTTAGACCTGTGCTACAACATTCCAAGGTTTCGCGTGTCGAGGCTCTAGATCAGGGGTGTACAACAGGCGGCCCGCGCGCCGCAGCCCGGCCCGCCAAGTCATTTAGCGTGGCTCTTGTCAACACCCAGATTTTCCACCATTCGAAATAAATCCGAATCCGACATTTCATGTTTGAAAAGTCAGTTACGTGGGTACAATACATCAGGGATACTCAACTATTTCTACCGAAGATCCGCATACAAACTTCAAAATTATTGGAGTCCGGTGTTTCAAGAAAATATATTTCGACATCCGTGAACGCGCACTTCCTCGACCGGCTAATGAATATCAGCTAATCAAGATTGTTTATTATGGTGTTATATTTCTTTTCATATATATTCAAAATAATAAAAGTCATTTTATAAAATGAAACTCTGAAAGTAGGGCCAATGATCCAAAATAAAGAATTATGTGCTGCGGTCCGAATCAAATACTCGAAAGGTCCGGATTCGGACCGCCAGTTGAGTAGCCCTGCTATACATCATGTATTTTCTTTTCGCTGCGTTAAATCTTACGCTGTTTTGCCCCGTGCATAGCAGTAGCCGCATTTTCTTTTGGCTTTTCCCGCTCAATTTATTACTGGAAGGCTAAGCGATTGCCGCATTCTTTCTTGCCTTTCCGCTAAATTTTTGTGTGTGGCCTAGCTAGATGACTGAAGTTCATTATATAACCCTCCAACAAAAATGTTTCACAGCCTTGCGCTAAGAACATGGCACGACATCCTAATATATACAATGCTGAACCCCGAATTATACAACTAGCAACGACCTGTTATATATTGAGAGCCCACAGTGCCGGCGTAGAAACAGAATTCCTCACTCACAAATCCATTATAGTCGACCTAACCTGCAACTCACTGATATCCAATACACCAGCAGAACAGGAACAAGTTCTTTGTAATATTTTTATTATTGAAATAAGAACATGGAACATTATTTAATAAAATATTTGACAGAAAAACCTCTGCGTAACAGTACAGTGATCATTTAGAAATAAATAGCAAATAATATAGAAACTGGAATGCGAACGAATAAAGATAAAATAACAAATATTTGGGAGGGGGTTTTCCCAATGTCGTCAAAACAGAATATACCTTCTTAAAAGTTTTCTACAAACTGGAGGGTGTGAATATTACTGTGTTAAAATTTTGTTGGAGGGGTAGGGGTTGGTAAAAAATATTTATGAGGGATTCCCCGTGGTGTTGTGAAATTGAAAAAATGTTATAATTAGAAGCCAGCTTTTGATATTCTACAATTCTTTCTCGTTTTCGAAGTGATTTGATTCGAAAACCGTTTCATAAATTATGATTTTATTGTAAAATTTTGTTTTCTAAAAATACTTTATGAAAGTGAGAGCACATTTTTTAATTAATTGTCTTGATCGCAAATTTGTCCGAAAGTAATCTTTTTTTTATACTCCGATCTTTTACTTTACGTAAATAATGTCAGCAATTGTATATGCCTTGCAATGTGAAATACCACGTAATTTTGCGTTCAAAAGTTATAAAACGTAAAAATTAAACACAAACAAAAATATCAAAAAATTATTTGATGATATAAATTATTAGCATGATGTAACCATGGCCTCCGGTGTTTATCCATCGAAACAAGATATAAATAAAAGGGTGCTCCCACGGTATGCGTACGTAGTATGTGTATCAGGTTAGGGTTAGGCTATAATTTTTTTCTAATTTTCAATATTTAATTCTATTACGAGTTCGGGGACTAGCCAAGTGACTCCCGTAGTAACCTTCCACAAATACTACGTTCCGGTGTCCGCTATCTTGGTACGCATATTTCAGGAGCGCCAATAGAAGAATATCAAAATAAATGTTTGGGAACACTCCTTTGTGTTATTATAACCTGGTTGGGAACGCAATTTTCAAAATGGAATAATGAGGCCGAGGTTGAATCTTGGTCCCGAACTCGGCTGTGGACGAGCAGTCCCTTGTATGTAAAGGACTTAATATAATGACAAAAAACATTCAGGGTTAAAGTAGAAAATACAAATACAACTGATAAAACATTGTTTGCATGAATAAAAAGTAAATAATAAATAAAAATTTCACATTTAAAACTCTCTTAACATTCTAATGTTGCAGCAATTTCAAAAATGATCATCGACTGAAGTTCTTAAAAATCAATTCTCACGAGAAATTTTACATCATGGCCTAATAATCATAAGACTGGAAACAAAACGTTAGCAATAAATCAATTTAGTACTCTATCGTCCCATTACCCCACCCTGGGTAAATATGAATGTGTTAAGCAATGGCAACTACGAAATATGGTAGTTTGCATAATTGTTGTACATGGCGTAAAAACGATCTTAAATCAGCTTATCTCAGTTTTGTGAGACCTATGCTAAGAATATTCCTATATCTGTTTATAGTTTTCGATGTAAAATGTCCGAACTGTTTATATGTCGATTTGTTTGTGTTTAGCATTTAAGGATGTTTGAATTAAGCCGTTGTTTAGGTTAGAAGCCAGTTCATGGAACGATAACGAAAACATGGGCGGTTTAGTAAATGGTTTCCTCTGTTTGAGGATTCAATATTATTTGACAAGACACAGTTTGAATAATGAAATTCGCAGTTTATCAGAGAGATGAGTGACCCATTTACGGTTCGTTTTATTCAATTTGAGTTCTGAAAATTTCTCTCGTAAAAGTTTTAACAATATAACATCATATACTAAGATTCGAATAAAAACTCCTATTGGAGGTTTGGGTTGTATTTAGTTTGAGTGGAATATTCCACGGGAGCACATTTCCTGTGAATGAGACTTACAGTTTCTCATATTTTGAATGTCCAAATATTTAGAAAACATGGAACAATTAAAGCAATTTTGTTGAAAATGAAGTAATTTAGTTTGACTATCTGTATCTAGTAACTAATATTCAGGTACTTCGGTTGACTTGCAGACTTTTAGGAAAGAAAAAGCGTGGAATGTGCAGAGCCGGAATGTCATTTGAATAAAACTTTTGCAAAGCGATTTTGTTAATCATATTAGAATGGTACCAGAATTTGGTTACGAAACAGCTTATGTCTTCAATTGTCAAATTTGACAGAGTTTGTCACAAATCATACGCGTAAATATCATGTTCTTTCATTTTTAATCCGTGTCTAATCGAGGGCCCGCCCATTGAAATCAGATCGTTCCCAGAAAGATTTAGCTTGAATGACGTCGAATTGTATTTTTAAACTTGTGATAAAGGTTGTTTTTGTTTAAGTATGTCATGACATTTATGGTTGAAACTATCAAAATCAGCATTACGTGAAAAACCCGATTTATGTTTTACCTGCGGTTGCAGATCCCGCTTTTGGTTTGACTTTAAGTTTGGGCTTCAAATCAAATTCTTCCTTGTGCCTCAAGTTCTAGAACACTTCACATTAGGCGATTGTATGATTTTTTGGGAAAATATTTTTCTTAAGGCTTTGTTTCTAAAGTAATCGTTCTTTTCGGTTTATGTTTGGTTTTGAGATGGAGCTTTGAACTGTTTAAATCGATTATTTATACTTGAAAACTGAATCAAAATTTGTATGGCTACTTCTCGGAAAAATAATATGAATGATATTCTAACTTCATGCTCTGTTCAGTCTCAAAATAAATATTCCCCCTTGCCACATTTGTTTTAAAAAATCACCATGACACTCAGAATGGTGTACATTACTACCTTCGATTTCAGTTTATAAAAATAAATTCTGATTTAAATATGAATATATAGCATATAGCAAGCATATAAATATCATTTGCGTGATGCGCGGAATTTTTCACGTGAGTTACGTAATGAACGTAACACACTCAAATGCACACAATGTATGTAACACACTTAAAAGCATATAATGTACGTAACGCGCGTATTGCAAGTAACACACGTAAAAATGTACGTAAGTCACATTTGTTTTATTTTAACGCAAGTCCACGCTCGTCTTTCAGTCCTTGAAACTCATTGCGCCGGTATTTCACGTTATATACTTTCGGTAGGAATCGCTTTTCCGCTGTATATGGGCAATAATCACAAGAATAGCGAACAGGCACCGGGCAGGCTTATCCAGTCTCTACACGCCAGTCTGCCATCATCGTATTCCATGCAGTTATCAAACATATGTTCTTTCTCCTCTGGAATAATCATCACCGCGTTTCTTTGAACCGAAACTGTTGCGCATTCAGCGTTATCAAGGAGTCCGATTGTTGGTTTTCTAGAAAGAATAAAATGCTGTTAAATTTTTGAACATCACTCGTGAGGAGTGTATTTTGGTCTAGTAGCATAATGTTCCAGTGTCAAAGGTTAAAGATTCTGGGTGCAAACCCAATATACCCAGCATCTCACCCAGTGTGGGTTGTCAATGCCGAACCGGAAAGATTCCGGTTATTTCGAAACAAATGCTTTAATGCTTGTACAAAACCTTGTTCAAAGTCGTGTGAAGCCGGTCATTGCAAAATATAGTTTGCGCATTTGTGCGCCATCTTGGTTCACATACTACTGAGAGTACTACCGAAAGAAAGTCTTGTAAAACCAACTCACTTTGAGGAGCATTCCGCGACTATAAACGGCTGCACGTACTCGTCATCTCTCAGAAGTTCAACGTAGAAATCACCAGACCTGTGCGCCACTTTCATCGGTGAATGGACCTAGAAAACAAACATACGTAGATTTAGAAACGCAATCCAGAGGAAGCACCGTTAATAATACATGGCGGCCTAGTAGTGGGAAATTGGAAATTTTAGGTTGAAATCCCACCTTCTCAAAGTGCAATAAACAATTTAGGGCAAACGCCACTGATAAAGATTTGATACAATTGCAATCACAAGCGCAATCATCTGCCACAAACGTTTTGATCATTTTCCTGCAGTAAATATTGATACCAGACGTGGCTGAAGCCAACACTACCATACCGAACAAAACTCGGGTTGTATGTGTACACCGAATAATAATCTGGTTGTATGTGTACATCGGTTTTGAATTTAAATCGTGAAAACATCGTCAAAGTGAAATTGTTGCATCAACAGCCCGGCCTTTAATCATCGTATAAATATCCTAAAAGCCTTTCTACCCACGCCTAGATACTAAATAAATATAGCTGAAATGAATTAAGGCCACCAGCGATCAATAAACGCTCATGTATTGAATCGGTTCTGCGAATGTAGTGCCAGAAGCTCAAGGTTAGATTTTTTGCAATGGTATAAATATCGGTGAGTCCTTTTCAACCGCTCCCACTTAGTAAATATCACGTTGTTTATACATTATTTCGTCATGTATTATGCATACATTATACTGATGCTAGATATAGGATGAAATAATCCCACAGAAGCCCAAAGTCGAATACCCGCATTTGAAATAACGTACACGCCCTTTTTAAAACATCTTACCCGTGGGGTAATAAATTGGGTTGCCAATATTGGACTCAAAAATTTCGGTCCGTCCAAAAACAGTAGCTACTTTTTTATCAGTAGATGCTTGTAAGGTGCCTTGTTCGGGACGAAAGACGTATCCATACATTTATGAAAAGCCCTGCGCTTGGATATCCGCCATCGACTATTAACTATGCCGTTTTGATGATAGTACACGCTTGTATCGAATTACAACAAACATTTTTACTCGATTGCGTTATCACTAAAAATATCTTCTTTATAACGTCATTTCCGTCTTGATTTATTACTTTTCTATATTTTATGACAGCCCAGGAAGTGACTTCTGTTAATTAATTAATTAAATTTTAATTAAAAGTCGGGTTCAAAATTTGGTCGTTTAGTCTTGTGTTGATTACGGTTGACGTAATATCGACGGCTAATTAATTAACTTCTGCGGGCGTTAATGCCAGCATTTAGAAGTTAATCAAGCGTTGCTAACCGTTAATAACAAGGCTTGAAAACTAATCAACCGTTACATCATTCTGCCACCTGTGCGGTAGAATAAGGGAGAAACTTAGAATTTATTCATTTTAATCTTTAGACTGAAGCTATACAAACTCAACAAAAGCCTCATGATACCAACTCCATACCCGCGTAGTGAATTCGTTCAATAAAAGAAATCGACTTTATTTTATTTTCGATTTCTCACCAAAAGTTGTAACTCCCCAGTTGATCGCGTATCTTATCTATAATGTTTGGAAGTTAGCGATATGTATGGACAACGCGTGTTTCCTCATTCTCATTAAAGCTTGGTGCTGGTCGTTTAAGCCCGATTATTTTTGATTATCCCTTCACCGGTTGAAATTAGCATAATGTGTGAATTATGTGTGAATTTGCTCCTAGAAAGATCACGTGCACACATGCATTAGTAAAGGAGGCTCATCGAAGTCGAGGGCAATCACTGGAATGCTGGGGAATACAGGAAATATATAGAATTATAGCAGTGAATTGAATGCAATCACTCAGAAATATGGGACACTCATCTCTTGAATCAAAGTTAGTGCAAGCACTGAATTACTGAGAGCTACAGAAATTATACAAACTAATATCGGTGCATTGCGTGCAGGTTGATGAAGAATAACAAGAATGAACAGGTGTTTGCCTGGTTGATCTACTCGACCTGGTGACCTCACATAACTTAAAAAGTTAATTAAACCGATTGAGAAAAGCGATTGTGTTTTGTCATGGTCGGTGTAAATAATTTTGATCAGGCGATGTTTAAAATTAAAGTTTCTAGTCTTTACAAAGTTATAATGTAACGCTGCTGACTGGGATATCGTGCGCATACTGGTAATTTCTCCCTCTTGTGTTAGTGGTTGCGCTGACTGCAAGGACACTGTAGCAAGAAATAAAACGACATTTAAAGCGGATTAAATGTGAATGTTGAAACCTGCTTGTCGGGGGAAGTATGATTACGGTCATGCAAAACGGTACACCTTATTAAATATCATTGATTCTTCGTCTACTAGAGCTTTCTTCTGGAGAGAAGTGTAAAAAACACCATTGTAATCTTTACAATAAATATTGAAATAATGTCGGAAATAAAATTATTCTGAACCTTGTGACTATATTGCACTTCCGCCATCACGACCAATGATCACGTTTCTAATACCAAATATATCCACCGGTATACACCGGTGAAGTTATTCTGATTAGCTGACATTTAAGGGAGGGAATTCCCGCAAAATTGCCGTCGTTGCCCCGACCTACTAACTGCGGGAAAAATCACACCGGTGGTATTTTTATTGTTCGTGCATAAATTACGTGCAGTCAATTTTTAACGACATTTCGCCTTAATTTTTGTGCCGATCTTTATTAGGTTATGCACGCGCATTGCACAGAATAAGCATTAATACCGCTAATAATTTCAGAATAGCTATATGCAACTTTATATTATCACGACATTATAGAATCTTTGGGTGAGTTTGTGGACTCGGGATGATTAATGAGGGGGGTTGGCCAGGGTTTAAACCCTAAGTTTGAGAGAGATCACTTTCTAAGAGCATGTCTCTAGGTAGACGGGATTGTATCTAATAGTGAATGTAAGTTGCACAGTTTGCTTTTATAGATATTTCACAAAAAAGCCAATTCCTAAAAACACATTTTTTGTTTTTATCACAGAGCAATTTGTAATGTTGTTCAGATCCTTGTCAACAGAGCATTAGTGAAATCAAGTTATATAAATTTTGAAATTAATTTTGCAATCCAACATTTTGCCATAGACAATTCGCGGTAGCGCTATTTTTGATACAACGGAAAAATCGTTTTCTGTTTTGTCAGATGTTTCCATTTTAAACTGGAATCTATCACAGTATTTTCAATCTCGTCAGCTGGCTGTATATGTGCCGTGCATATATGTACCATGTGTATACGTGCTTTGTGACGTGTTACCAAATTAAATAGTTATTGATTGTGCGTCGTTTTAACTAATGGCGGACTGCATCGAAACGACGTCTTCCCAACTTTATTAATCGCTCGCGGGTTTTTAAAATGTGGATCGAAAGGATGCAAGTCATTTATTAAATCATTAATCCTGACTTTTGAGACATCGACATCAATCAAAAAAGCTTGAGTCCCGCGTCATCCCGCATGTCGTGGCATTGACGGGATGTAAGTTCGCATGTCACTCTTTCTAGGTCATTTGGGGCGCCTACAACTGCCTAATCAATGGCGAATAAAGTCTTTCCATAATTTGCGATATTTATTTTAGAGTCAATAGAAAAACTTTCTAAATTGCTAAATAACTACGACACCGCCTATGTTTCCGTTTGTTTATTCGCTGTGAGTGTTTGTGAGTTGACCTAGAGCAAATTCGCATAAAACAAGCGATAATAAAATGTTTTTCATTAATTTTACAGCTGTCCTGTAATTTATCTAAGAACCTGCCATAGAATCGTATTGATCTATACACGATCTTAAGAAGTAATATTATCCGAGTAGGAAGAAAACGCAATGTTTTGTCAAAACACGTAATCGCAATTCTGACAGAATCATTTCCGGATGGAAACTATTGTTCTGTTGCTGTCAATATAATTTATTTGACAGTTGTGAAATATTAAAGGTTCCGACCATTAAGAATATTAATTTATCGGTTTCTCGGGTTGTTTAATAAAAACATACTCATTATTCATAAATTTAGCATTATTTATAATTTTATGATTTTAATTAAGATGAAAAATGGGCTTACTCAATTTTAAAATGCGCTCAGACAATACTCCCGAAACTATGCGAAGTAATTCCGATCGTTTCGTGAAATATCAAGCAATTTGCTTTAATTATGTTTGTCGAGAACTTTTCTCATAATAGTGTATCATTATTCAAAGGTTCATGCATTTTATAAAAAAAAAACGACTTTCTCCATTTTAAAGGGAACTACAGCGGATAAAAATGTATTGTTTTATTTCAAACCTTACAAGGGCTATAGACAAGCATGTGCCGATTCGCAAAGGGCAATATTCACAATGTTTATCTCGGGCTTTCTTATTGCCTACAGCATAGTGTCAACTGCTAATATAAGCCATAGCCATAAGCTATTAATACAATATTTGCTCTATATTAAGACCAGATACAAGAGCCGATAACACAAGAAGCCCAATGGCCACAATAATTCTTCTTCATACAGAGGTCTAGAATGCAACGCTTTTGGTAATTTTATATATATTTTAAGAATCATTTCCTAAATATAGATCACAATAAAAATAGGAAATTAAAACTAACTTAATGATTTCAATAATCCGAAATTAACTCTCGTCACGACCAGAAGTCACGAATCTATTGTTCAGCAATTATTGACCGGAATTGTTCGTATTATTATACTTTCAAAAAATTGGCAAGTTCTATTCTCATAATGTGACCTTTGAATGAGGAAATACCCGTATCCGCATGACCTACTTATCTCGAGCCTTGCTCCAATCGAAGGCGTAACGGTCGTCAATTCGCGTGATTTAATACGGTTTGAGAACCACTATTCTAATAATATTCATGCGCATACATTTGGTCACCATATTTATACATATGTACCGCTTACTTATAAGAGCATTTGTCAGTGCAACGATGTCTAAATACTTTTTATTCCCAATCTGTAAGGACTGACTGACATCGTAAAACTACACATTCATGGTAAGGCTGTCCAAAGATTTGCATTTCATTGATAAAGTAAATTAATTTTTTAAAGCCATTTTCAGAGTGAATTCGTCATCAACATTATTTGTTAATGCTGG